ATTTGTGTTACGACGAACAATGAAAAACGATTCGATAAATCGCTTTCATTCTTTCCCATCTACTGTGGTTATTGCACCAATAATTTCCTTTGCAAAAAAAGAATTCTTGAGATTGGGAAAATGTTATGCTTTAGAGCCAAGCTATTGGTTCCTTTGCTGTTGAAATTAATAACGGAAATGTAACGATTGTCAAATGTTAATGAAGATTAACAGCCATGAATGAATAACCTCTGTATAGCCCATCTCATGCTTACGTGATCAAAAGATAGTAACGGTAGATCGATTGCATGATACAAATGGAGGCAATGAAAATGAGTTAATAAATTGTGCACCATAAATATCTTATACTTTTGTAATTTCTTGATTGTTTATAATCATTTCCAAACTCATTAATTGAAGTGTATCAACCGACAAATTAATCGATATCAAAAAATTATTGCTATTATCACAGAAATAAAGTGAACTATTAAGCAATTAGATTGGACGATATTCATAGACATTATTCACTGAATGCACGCAAATATATCTATCATCAAATACGATTATCATCCGATTAAAACAATCATTCGCGGATTAGCTATTCGATGAGTTAAAGAAGATTTGAGAAAGCTCACAATTCACTTCAGTGCTGCCTAAACAGACTTCATATTTCCAAGCAAATTGTGGCTTAGTTAGCCGCTTGTAAGGTTGCTTTTCTGCGTTGCTTTTGCACTTCAAAGCTAGCGATGAACTCCCACGATTCTTCTATTCAAACAAGTGAATATCCTGAAAGAATTAACCGGATGATGAGCTTCGTATCAATTGTGAGAGTACGTTCCGTACCATAGACATAAAATGAGTTTAAGCTCTGCTTGGAAGAGCTCGTTTCTTGCGATTAAACCAAATTGTGTCTTAATCGTAGAAATCGTAGAAAACCGTACGATTCATTTTTGCTGATATCAGCAAGAAGTATTGTTTATAAACTGATAATTGTGAGGAAATGATAGATTTTAGGAAAATTCAATCTGAGTTTATTGATATATTTGCTGCTGGATTCAAAAGTTTAGAGGTTTGATGAAACCCCAAATAAACATTGAGCGATGAGAACGGTGCTGACTGTTAGCAATTGCATAATTTGGTGTTTTGAGAGAGAAAAATGCATGAGGTCATTGAGGTCACTCTCGCAGCGATGTGTACATATCTGTGTGTCTTTTATTGAGCAGATATTGTAGATCGATCATCTCTTCAAACAGCACTTCATAATGTTCATTCATCCTCATCAAAGCAGTGATTTAATAGCATTCATAATTATTCATGCTTATGATTTCTAACACTGTCTGGTTCTTATTTGTCAGTATATATGTCACTTTTGATTCATTGCGTTTCTCAGTGATGGAGACTCGATCAGAAATTGGTTTTTGGCTATTACAGTTGCCTGTTTCCACTAACATTTCTGTCATAAGCAAGCATTTTATGTTATTGGAAGATAATTTTCATCGGTGGATGCGTATGGAAGACGAACATTTGATCGTATCATATGAAGGCGACTAATGTTGGGTTTAGCAGTGTGATTTCTTGTTATGTCAGTTAATTTCAAGACGATTTTTCAAACGATTTCATTTCTGACTGATCAATCGCTATTGGAAATTTGAAAGTGAAACGTTTCAATGAAACGTAACGAATTGCGAATGCTCTCATGGCATTCAATGGAGTGATGAATACGCGCAATCGCTTTCGCTATCCATCTCCAGCAAGCACTCTTGTGCAGTATGTGAATTCAAAGAGCATCCAATTGATACATGTAGTCATGTAGAACTGCCAATTTGCAGATAATCTATGGATTTGTCTTCAGTTTGCGCTAAGAACTGTGAATGATTACTCTTAAGAGTGAATGAGCTTGAGAGCGGACTGAAGAAACGAACGAGCATTTGTTGTGTTGTTCATTGGAAGTGTGTGAGATCACGCGATACGCTCAAGCAAGCATTGTTCCAGAACATGCCTTTACACAACAGTCCACTCACTGAGCATGAGGTGAACACTGAACCTCAACTTTATAGCTCAAGAGGACGCTTGCCAACCTCAAGTACTCGATTTTCAATGCACCAATTCAAAGTTTCCATTGTTCCATTATAAATTTACGCAGCAAGCAACTATTTCAAATTCTTCTTTTTGCTCTCTGATAACTTCAACTTAACAGTTTCGAAAGGTTTATGGCATTTCTATACTGATTGTTAGGATTGAAAATACTAAAATACCTCGGATTTTTTGAGGATTCATAGATTAATGACGAAAAATGTGAGTAGAATGCACTGCTGCTGACTTAAGGACAACGTAAAAAGCAGTGCAGCCCTGATGAATTCATCCAATAATGAGCGCTGCTTTCTCGAAAGCAGAAAACATACTAGTACGGGAACTAAGTATTGAAAATGGCAGAATAACTTGTGAACAGCGGTAATATTATTGACAGCGCAGTGATGGCCAAAATCACGGTAAGTAGAAAGTGATGAGGATAATTGGAATCACGACAACAGAATGGAGGACTAACTGTGCATGGTCCTCGCGACAATAAACATGACCATCTTTGATAAAACAACTCGAATTATCCGACAGTCGTAAATGGCACGTTGAGCATGACAAGCAACTCTCATGCCAAAATTCGTCCATCACCTTAACATCATTCTGCTGAATCGAAGCTAAATTCTTTTACGTACTATTAAATTTCCGTTTCAAACAGTTTCATCATATATGAGCATAAAAGATTATAAGGGCAGATCACAGAAAACTGACAAACTGAAGTATTTTGCCGCATTATACTTCGAAATTTCCACTGTTTCCTCATACCACCTGCTCATTTTTCGTGTTTGAATCAATGCTAGCATGAGATGATAGCGAAGAGATATTCTGAGGAAATACCTTGAGAAGGAATCGCTCTCGAATTTGAAACCCGCATCCCCCACATACAGCATCATCGACACGCATTCGAACGGTAGACGATGTTTCAGCACAAGGCTCCTCTGAAACGCATCGGTAAGAATGCAACATTCACTTGGTTCTCTCTCTAAGAACGCACAATAGAGGACTTTCTTCTTTGAATATCTCAGTTTTCAATCCGGGAATGCAAAATGACGAGAATTGTGAGCATTGAACCAAAGTGAGATTCAGAATAGGATCACCTCTTCCATGAATTATCACCTGATGTGATTCAAGTGATATTGTAGTTTATTGTTCTCATATGTTGTAGTCT